TTTGCATTTCTTCAATGTTCAGGAGACAGAGTCTACAATTTAATTTGCCTTCACTCAGGCAGAGGATTACAAATGGTGTAATCATTAGTAGCAAAAACTGCTGAAGCGCCAAACAAGAAACCCACCCAGTATCATCAGTGCTTAACAAAAGGAAAGGCAAGTAATTCTCTCTGCACCAATAAATACATTTAATACACGAGTACACCTTCTAAAGTAAAAATAACTGTAATGCCACACTTCCTACAGCAATGAAGTCCTTTAAGGCATTTAGACATATTGTATCACTATTAATTCAGCATCCTAGTATTAGGAAACCTCAACATTTTTGAGTTCAAAGCAAATTAAAGAACAGGAAAAAGAATATGCTTAAATAATTTCTCATACTCACAGCACTATTCTATAAGGATCAGTCAGTTCTCTTAATAGAAAAACGCTTTAGTGACAGAAATTTATGCAGCAATAATTAATATTTCCTTTTGATAAGTTACATTATAATATCTCAAAAAGAGATAAGATATTAAAATAGTAGTAAATGCCTATAAAAACTGACCTTTACCCCCTTTTTCGTTATCTTTTTCAAAAGTTGATATTACTGATAACATGGCATTAATTTCAAACTCTAAATTAGTCTGGTGAGCCAAATACTCCCCTAATCGAAACTCAGCATCATCCAATGTCAGATGAAACATGAGAAATGAATTGAAAGTTTCCTTCTGATTTTATGTACTATCTCTGTACTTGCCCCTCTATAGCATAAACAGTAAACCAGAATGATTCCATAAATCTGGGAAGTTTTAATACACAACCAAAGCACACAGTAGGAATAACAGTTTCATCAAAGGAGTTAAGAAGTCAAGTCTTTTAAACTTTTATTGTAGTGACACCTTGTGGCTATATTTTACTTATTTTGAGACTTAAAAAATTTTCATTTTCTTCTCAGTCTTTTAATGCAGTTTTTCAAATTTTATGGTCTAGGACAAAGTAAAAAGATGAAAATGCAAATCAAAAATGAAAGGATGAAAAAAGCGAGTAGGATAAAACAGAAAACAGCACTACCCATTCAAAGATCATTACCAGTATTAACATTCACTGTTACAAGAGGAAGCTGGAATAACTATGAACACAACACCTGTTCCTAACTTTGACAGAAAGCTGATTACATGACTTTTTTCTGTGTCCCATCTTCCCTCTAAAGAGTTTTCAGTTCTACATGAAAATTGCTATAGAAGTGCAAACAATGAAAATATGACCAAAAGAAATACTAAAAAAATACAGTACCATATTTAAAAAAAAAAAAGGAAAAAAATTTGCCCCATAATCTCACTCTCTTATTTGCTTTTTCTGCATACTATAGGACTGTTCAATTTTCAAAGGTGGTAGAATAATGTATTCTGACAGCATTTAAAGCAAAAATTAAAAGTCTAAAACACAATTTGTCAATAAAATCCCCATGTATTATACTCACCTTTTTTTTTTTTTTTATTAAAAGCCCTCTAAGTACAGCAACATCCCTCACTTATAATACTAAGCTTTGACACCAAACAAATAATCTTCCTGGTACAAATTAGCTTGTATATATAAATCAGGATTTAGATTTCACAAATAACAAATAGATCACTTAATGGGTGTGAGAAAGCATAAACAATCTTCTCCATTTTTTTCATCTATTAATCTAACAAAGGTTATGGCTGGCAAAAGTTACTCTGAATGTATATGCTGGAGCATGCAAGTAGTAACAGGAAGAAGGAAAGAATGTAAATAATCTTATCATGTTACTGGTTTGACTCTGCCTAATTAGTCTGGATGTTTTGATACATGCTTTGCCAAGTACAAATTATCTTTCATGGGAAGCACAATAATGCCACTAATTCTAACACTATTGTGAATATTTCACAGTGCTCCATATATCAAAAAAAAAATCAAAGTCACGACAGAGACTATGACATACACAACAATGACTCTTTAAGGAGGCTGAGTTGGTCTTAATTCACTGTGGTATAAATTATCAGTTTTATTTAACAACTAACTGCTGGAACGGTGCAGTTTTTTGCATCCATCTAGTGTGAAAGAGGTACTTCCAGATTTCTACATAGATATATTTGCTTAAGAGAAAAGTTAAAGGTTTTCAAAGAGAAACAAAACCCCCAGCCGGCATACATGCAAATAGAAGACACACCACATCAATTTTTACACCCATGGAAATGTTTGAGTAGCTTCTTGAAACTCGGATGAACATATCAGCTCAGCCCTTGACAGCTCTCACCTTTTACAACTAATATTTATGTGGAAGATAACTCAAAAAGGCAACTAACCTTGCCTAATGTTACAGGGCTCATATCCTCTTTATAATCTGTTTGAACAATTGCTCTGGTGTATCAGACACAGACTGGCTGTCCTTCAACAACCTGTACAGAATCTGGCATGTTCTATCCCTCGCTTTGAAAAATGGTGTGTAAATAAAAACACCCAGCCAGTTAATTCTAGCCTCCAATTCTTTGTTGCTCCTCAAAATGTCACCCTATACGGTGATGTCATAAAGCACTTTGGGCTAAAAGAATCTTTTTTTTTTTAAATGAATAAAACCAAAACACCACCTATCTCAAGCCTGTACTGGTAAGACACTTAGTCCATGATCTTCTGCTAAAAAAAAACACCTTAAAAAAATTGCAGCATGGTTCCCTAAGTGGTTCCTTCCAAAAATATTATCTGCATTACTAAGGCAAAAAGGGAATAAATGCAAAAACTAATAGCAAGAAGACAGAGCAAAACATGATGCTTGCAATCCACTCCTCTGTACTGTTTGTCCACTAACAAGAAAATTTTGGCACTGGGACTTGCCACACTATCTTGAGTATACAACAGAAACAGCATTGAGCAACATGAAAATATAACTAGTTTTGGATTAAAAAAAATATGGATTAACCAAGTGCTAATAAATAGGAGTGATTTGCTGAGTTACATTACAGTCTTTCTCTAAAAATGGGGCAGGCATTTACGTCTTCAAATAAAATAATGGGTTTCTTCTTATTATCTGCTGATAAAACAGGGCATATAAAAAACCCAAAACATATCTGCCCTTTGATAAGCATGCATAACTTAACCACAAAAATATCAAATGTTAAAAGAATACATTCTCACACAACCTCATATTAGGTCATATTTTAAGTCTGTGCTCACAAGACTGGAGAACACGTAGTTTTTAGGTGACAAAAAAATCTGAGGCATGAGAATTATGTGATAAGGAAATTTGTGCTGTAGTTATCTGGACAACTGTACACTTCCAATGTGTGCTACAATAAAACTGCAAGGGGGAGGATCCCAGATGTGCCTGTGCATGCAGATCCCCATGCATATGAAAGCACCACATGAAATGAACTCCCTCCTGATAATCTGCTCCTTCAAAAGAGGGCAAGTCATTCGCAGAGGATTAAGAATTCACTGGAGAGTTAGAAAGTACAAGAGATCCTACTGTGCCAAAAAATGAGTAAGGTATCTTCTAAAACTTTGGAATAATGTTTTCCCCTTCTCTATTCCCTCTATGCACTTTCAGGCAAGGCTACAAAGAGCCTTCACCAAAACAGAACAACGACACTCTCAAAAGACAGCACACGCACACTCAAACCCAGATGAAGACACCTGGGAGGGGGGTGGCAAACAGGTCAACTGTTGTTGAAATAGAATAGTCACTTTTGGACAAGATTTGAATGAGGCCAAAGAATGGCAGCTCTTTTGAAAAAATGATTTAGGGAAGTCCCACCACAACAGAGAAGTCCCTAGACATTATTTCGGTAACATGATGGAAGTGAAAAAACCCTGTGCATGCTAACAATCCATCCAATTTGAATGAAGCTAAAGTCACACACAAAAAAATACCCCCAGGAAATGTAAAACACCTACCAACTCATGAGACATTTTCTCAGTGCTAGGTGATTTATCACAGACACCTTTAAGCAAAAATTTAGCAATACACACACAAACTAAGGGACTGCACCGACCATTTCAGAAAGAGAAAACGGTAACACCGGAATTAAAAAAGTTACAGGGAAAAGGTGAGAATGTATTTGTTTATATAGGGAAAAATAAATTACAAGTCAGTTACATTCAGTATGAACTTTTAGTAAAGGACAGCAAGGTTGAGAAAGATTTATCTGAGGAGGAGAGACACGCAAGTGACCCATCAGACCCCTTCCCCATAGACTACAACTGCTTGCCAGTAATCCAATGCTGCAGAGTAGTAAGGGTCAGAGAGACGACATTCTTTGGGAAAAAGAAAGCACTTCCCTCCCTAGGGATTCCAAGAGTTGCGCCGAATAAAAACTTTGCATCTCCAAAACAATTACAGTACAGGTAATTTCCTCCTTGGGTCTATAACCCAAAACCTAACGACAACAGTATCTTGGATATCTACAGATTGTGGCCTCTCCCTCAATTCAATTTTTGGATAAAACAGTTTCAATCTGATTATAAGCTTTTCCCAGAATTCCCAGCACCTACAGTAAAAAAAAAAATCATCACCTTAATAATGCTTAAACCCATCTAGATATTTTGGGTTACACAAGGCATTGCTCAAACCTCCTTTCACTCTTTGACAACTTTAAAACAGTCTCTCAGTGCATCAGCAAAAAATATATAAAATATATAAAGATACATTTCCACATTCTATAGTAAGTACGTAAATGCATTATATAAATTTAGGTTGTCAAGGAATAATGTTTACTACTGAGTGGAAAAAAAAAATCATATCAGCTGCAAAAAAGCATGAATATGAGTCAAAAAAAAAAAGTAGATATGAAAGAGGTAGGGTAAAAAAAGTACATTTTATCAACTATATTTACATTAAAAAATCATCCACCAAGATAGAAAATTTTAGGATAGCTGATGAAAGTTGTGTATATAATGCACTTTTAGAAATACATAATGCAGTAGCAAAATCCAGCAACTTATTCTGGTGCCCACATTCTTTAATGTTAGCCGTGCAATGTTAAAATTGATGAACTGACCTGCAGACACGGGCAGGAAAATACAGGTTCTGCCAGGACCGACAGAGGTACTTGGAGTGATCGATAACCCGAATCCAGTCTAATTCATCCATGGACACCTCAATGTAGTAGGAATAAGACCTATGAATTGTTAGAAAACACTGGTTAGAACATAAGTTGACACATTTTAGGTATTAAATTTTACACTGGCTTCTGGATTTTCAGTTGTGCTGAAGAGAAGGCTGTTTATTCCTACCCAGATGCCTATTTTCAAACTAGCTTTGAAAATAACTCTCATGCAGTTCAAACATTTTTAAAATGATTTGAAACATCCTTACACTCACAATCTGCAGTCACTATAAGATACTGTCGTCCCTCAAAAAATGTAATGTAGACTTTTAACTCAATCACAAAAATAATAATTTGTATTCTCTCTGCATAGAATAAAACTAAACCACCAGAGATACAGTACTATTTCTATTGCCAAATCAATAAAGAAAAAACCCAAAACAATTAGCGGAGTAAAAATGCAAATTCAAACCCTTCACTTGAAAAAAAAGCAAATTTACTTTAAGGTCATTCTCACTGATGCTGTTCTTCACTTTTGACCCTTTCACTTCTTTATAATACATCATTAACCCTGCCACTACTTCCTTACACACTCCAAAATTACTTCATGAAAAATAAAAAAAGTCACCAACAAAATCTATGTCTTCCTCTTGCTTATCAATTACATTTAGCTTAAAGCTTGCTGTTAAGAGAAAACAAACACAAACTAGAATTTAAAAGCCATAGCTAATTCCCTATTATACCTACAACAGTGACACTTATAATGAAGTAGAAACTTGACTTGGGGAGCAACAAATGATGAAATAAATGTTTCAGCATATTTTCTTTCTCCTAATGTACTAGTCTGCAACATTCACAGGCATTTCAACAGCACCACATCAGCACTTAACATCCTTCCATGCTGATTTCTAAAGAGGAATTGCTCTTCCAGAGTTCTACAGAAATATATCTTGTTAAACACTTATGCCTTTGTTCATATTTCCAATTTTTCTGAGGACTGAGAAGAGTAGGTGTCTGAAGTTGTACTGTTTAAAAACCCTTAAAATGTTAGATAGCTGTTAATTCTGTACTAAGTTGTCCCATAGAGAATATTTTTTGTCTGAGTTTCAGCAGCTGCTAATTAATGCCTTGCAGATGAGGGGCATTTTACCAGTCATACAAGCTCTCCAAAAATTGCTAGAGAACTCCTCATAATTAGAATATTTCTAACACTGTTTCAAATTTTATAAAGTTGGTTGGTAATTGGTTCATAAATTTGGCTGATCTTCCGGGACAAGTATTATAATATTTATATGAAGCAGTTCCTTGTACCTTCAAAATTTTATTTTTTCATCTTTGTAAAAGAAACAGAGAAGAAACATAAATTTCAGTTTAACTGAATTAGGAGAATTTACTTGAAACAAATAGCTAAAAACCATGAAATGTTCTAATAACTACTGTAGTTTGTTGGTAATTCACATTCTAAATAAATTTTACTAACTCTGAACTACAGAATCACAGAATCATGTAGGTTGGAAAAGACCTCAAAGATCTAGTACAATCTTATTGTCAAAGTGTGTAATTTCTTAAGTTCGACATATTGAAAAAATCCGAAAAAAAAAATTCATCCAATGTTTGCAACGTAAATATGTAAAAAATACAGTTCTTCCAAGGAACTAGAATATTGCTTTTCAAACTGAAATAATAGCAGCTGATAAATGGCAAATAGAAAACAACTAAAAGAATTTACATTTGGTAAACTTCCATTAGTACAAAATGCGTTGCCTTCCCTTTGTGTGTCAACTTGGCACCTACCGACTGTCTCTGTCCCACAGGAGTATTCGTATGTAGTTGATTATTGACGGCTGGCCTAGTTTAATTTCAATTCCAGAACGGCAGTCGTCACTGATCGGGTGTCGAGAGAAGCCATGATCCAAGTCATAGTTCTGAGTATCTCCATCTAATAAAGCAGATTTCAGCTCCCCTTTTACAACCTGTGCTCCGTACTTCATTGTTGCAATATTTTCCCCTGGTACTAAGAAGAAAAGGAAATAATTGCTTAACTTTTACACTCTCATACTGCCAATAAGGTATTCTGAACATCAACTCTATTAGGTCAGACCAGATTAACCACTAGTATCCTTTTTTGGCCAAAAACCCATCCTCAAGTGAAAAAAAAAAAAAAAAAGCATTTTAGAAATTTAGCTTCTTGAATTTCATTGATATTCCCTAAGTCTTTTATGGTAATAAAGTTGTGTATAATTTACTAGCTTGTAATAGATACATTCTCACTCCCCTTCGTGATTTTACAGAATTCTGTTGCTCCTTCCTCACTCAATCAATACTTTCCCTCTTGCTTTAAAGTTTTGGTCTGTTTCGTTTCTCCTTGTGATCAGCTTCTCACCATACCTCTAATAGTTTTTCTGCCCTTTCTTTCTGTCTTCTTTTTCTAATTTCAGCTGTTGGTTCACTTTGGTTTTGGGTGTTTGTTTTGTCTTGTTTTTTGTAAGTGGAAGGAAACTAAAAATCACATAAAATGTACAGGATGTGGATCAAATATTCAAGATGCATCATGAATTTGCAGGGTGGTATATAGGTTAGTATAGCCATATATGCTCTTTTGATAGCTATACAACCTTCCAGTACTCCGCAAAGATAAAGGAACTCGAGTGAAACAGGAAAGTTTTGGCTACTTAGGCTTTGAAACAACATGGTAAAGCAAGTTTTTTATGCCATCATTTCATAGGAATAAACTTCTTGCATCCCAGGAACATCTTCCATCAAGATAACTGGAGATAATGACCCCTAACTTCAGCTACAAAACAATACACTGATGAACCACCCTCTTCGTAAGACATTTTTAAAACCTTCTTTGAGGAGAGACCCAAAAAACATGATCTGAAAGCTAAATGATAAAAAGCTGCCCCTGAATTCTTCAGGTAGATTGGCAACAGAAGTATGAATTTTTTCAGGGTTTTAGGTTTGACATCTAAAGAACAGAATTTGAAGTGGTGAAATTTTAACTGTATTGTAGTACTACTACATCAAATGCAAAATTATGAAACTGTAAGTAGTTGTCAGCATTTACACAAACAGAAAAAGTTCCAAGAGCCCAAACAAATACTTAAAAAACAAAGAAATTCCACTCTCCATAAAGCTGTGATTAGGAGTATGCTTTTGTGGAGAGATAAATATTCAGAAAAAGAAGTCAGAAAACACCACCTGACTTATTCAAATTTATTTACTGCAGTGTCAACAGAATATCTTGCATGACAAGCCTTTTATAGTAACCTAATATTAAACTCATATGTTTAAATATTAATATCTGTAACTTCTACAGGAGAACAAAGGGGATATGCAGTTAACATTTTCAGAGCTCATCATGTATGACTGAGAATACAGTGTAGGTTCTAAGAGAACATTTAAATTTATTCTTTACTGTAGGTCAAATACTCTCTATAAATCACACATTAGATAGGTAACAATACCTTTCTAAAGCTCTAGTGCTAGCTACTCTTCTTGAATTAACAAGGAGCACAGACCAAAGTCAAGCACAAAGCTTCTCTCACTTTTTAGACTTCCATTAAAACCAGTTTTGGAAGACTTGTTTATACTACTTGGGCAAGCATGTAAACAGTAACAGAAAAGATGTAAGAAGTGAAGAAAATATGAACATCTTCATGAAGTAGAAAACAAGTTACCATCAGCATAAAACCATTTAAATATCATATATCCCACAGCCAATGCATTTTTAAATTTTAATGTTTTTGTAAAGGTTTTTCTATTAAAATAGCCCTCCCTCTAGGAAAATACTCTCATTACAACATTCATGATTGAGAAATATCTGAGATAAAAAGCAAAAAAATATGTTGACTAATATTATCTGAGAAATGGAAATGGCATGAACAGTACACAAGATATTTCCAAATGTAGGATTTTTAAAAAGTGCAATAACAGATAAAAACTCAAAAGCACACACTAGCCATATCCTCCAGACAACTACAGTCACTAAATGAGAAGGAAACAAACAAAAAACTTGATGCTTACTTAACATGCCCCTATAGTTGAGGTCCATGTCCCGACTCTCTGAACGAATCTTAATGGCATCTAGGATGGCATCAGGTGACAACAATCCAGAAGGTCTTACAACATTCAGTAGTTCAGTTAGACTCATCAGTGGCAAACGTACTGCCTGCATGATTTCAGCATGGTTTTCCTTGGGGTTATGTTTACACCAGTTCATCAAAGCTTGGAAAATATCCTTTTCAGGAGCTGCAAATGAGTCCCTCACTACAATACTTAAAAGAGCAGCCTGAAAAAAAGAAACAAGAACAAAATGAAGCACACCAATAAACAGAAATTAAATTGAATTTTATCTTTTTAATCATGGGAAATTAAAATAAGGCAAAAATTAATGGGTATTTTAACTAGCTAACAAAAATAATCTCCACGGGACTGACTCCCTGGAACTGTATCTTGTTTTAGTTATGCAAGTAAATTAAAGAGTCCATCACAAAAATAATAGGTAATATTACAAAACCACTAGAAGAAATAAGTCAGAATTGAAATGTAGAGAACTACTCAAATCAATATAAAACCACTTACTACTTCAAATTTATTTTGGAATATTGTAACAGATTTGGGAGTATAGTTCAAAACATTCCTTTAAACTTAGGCTGTTATAAGAACACTGATGAGAAAGAAGTGTTACTTGGAATCACTTTTTTAAACCATTTCTAACTACCTAGGATTTCCATCCCCCCACAATCTTTCTTTGTCTTTTGGTACCAACTTAGAATCAGCAGGTAAAAACTCCACTGGCTCTTATTCGTGCAGAAAACCCACTGACTGCAAAATGAGAACACGAATAACCAAACAGCTTTTGGATTTTCACTTAGGTAGCAGAATAATCAGGAGTTTGCCTAGAAAAAGGATAAATCTCTCATATATACCAGGACTGGCTACACCAAACACATCAAAGTATGCTCTTCCTGATAAATGATGTTTCCTCATTATTTTATTATTAATATGCTCTCAGAGCTCAGATGACAAACTGCACATGACAGACAACAGTGTAAAGAAAAAAATATTTTTCCCTTCACAAGTAGTAAGTTAGCAGAGCCAAAGTGTCTCATACTTATTCAAGAAAGAGGCCCTTCACAGCTTTTCCACTGAAAAACACTTACAAAAAAAATTAAACCATCATTTAAGGTCCTCTGCTACTTCACGTGAACATCATTTGAAAACACTCCATCACTATTATGAACAGCTCAAAGACCACTCCAGAGTAAGTGGAATATTTAAACTTCATGGACCAGCCTGACTCAACCACAAATATGCATCTGAAAACAGAACCAACACACAGGAAACCAAAACCATCCTACCACACCACCACATTCTGCAGCTTCAGAACATGATGACAATCAGCAACATAAATCACAGCAATCTCCAGAATGCTTTAGTTTACACAGCAGAAAATCCCCCATCACTGATGAAGTCTATATCAAGAAAATAATGGAATGAAGTATCTCCTGCCATCTTCAGATCTTTACTTTACATTCCCTGTGTGGCCTTCACAAGCCAAATTGTATTCCATCAAGAACAGATGAAATGGGACAAACTAAGATTAGACAAATTAAGATGCCTGCTCCCATCTTTTAGAATACTCCATCAGATTTACTATATTTAGCTATACTGACCAGTCGAAATTAAATACCTAAAAAATTCAGAACAGATCACCAGAACTTTCAGTTCACCTTGGCTTGAACGTTCCCAACTGTCACCGTTTCAGTAGTATAAAACAACAACTGTTAACTAACAAATGAATTTTTATTTGGTGCCCGCACCAAATGCGTACATCCTGAAGTTGTACACCGATTAAAATGAAACATTTCTGAGGGGGGAAAAGTGCAAACAAAAGATATACCTTAGAAAGTGATAGGAAGCCTTCGCTGGAGAGCACCTCTTGGGCATTTCTATCCATGAACATACAGCACATAAAAGTTAATTTGGGAAGAGAATAAAGACTGGCAACATCAAATGTCATACAGACATTCTGAATATTAAGTATTGTGCAAAGATATTCAGATGTGGAATCCTCCAGTTCTGGGAATCCATATTTATGTGCTAGGCTTAAGAAGTCTAGAAGAACCTCCTCTTTCTCATCTCGTAGTGTAGCACGACCAGTGTAGATATATTTCAACAGCATGGTAAATGCTTCTGCAGTGGTGTCCTGAAGAGGAATTTCTGCTTCAGGCTGAGATTCTCTCATTCCTCCATACAATAATGCTCTATAAGGAAGATAAAATTTGAGAACTTTATATCCTGACAAAACCCATGCAAAAAGTAGAAAAAGAAAGGAATAACTATCTGCAGCAAGTGGAATACAAAGGGGACATGGTTTGAGAATGTACAAAAGAAAACTCCTTATGCTTGGCATTTATAGTGCAGCTCTGCTCTGAAAGCAGTTGCACAAGAATAATCTTCTAATGCATTATGCTTTTATCCTATACAACAATACCTGCATCTCCACTTTGAACAACCAGAAACTGAGATCTGGTCCTTGTGCCTTGCTTTTTAAATATAGTACTATCAGTGAGAAAGAAAATTTTAAAAAATAATTTCAAAAAGCAAGTGAAACAAATAGTTTGCAGTGCAGCTTAGCAAATATCAGGATTCTTGATCTCCTATTCCTAAATGCAGCACATGGCAACTCCAATAAAATTCTGAATCTTGAGAAAAATCAATGACAGTTTGAACAAAATTTGCAATCACACTTTAGTTTAGCTATTGGCTTATCCCTCTGACAAAATTCACTGGAAAATTACCAAAAATTCTATTAATACATTTAGAGTTAAAAATGCCCATCTCTTAAAAAAAAAGAAAAAGCTGGATTAGCATTATACCTAGTTTTAAAATATATATTCTAATCTGTATCAGCCAAACCTCTTTAAATATTCAATTCCAATGCATCAAAATGAAACTTTCTAAATGAGTATATTCCATAGAAGTACACCATTTACAGTCTCAGAAGTCAAAACAATTTTGCAGTAGAACTTGTCTGTTCTCAACTTATCTTTCTCTTGAATTTGTGAAACTACCTTCAAAATCCAATTTAATGAAGGTCAAAAGAATAACATTGTGACATGGTATTTATCTTTTTCTATTTGGACACAATGATTTGATGTGCTGGGAACCATTCACACAGAAAAGGTCACACTCAGAGGACAGATGATTACACCCTGAAAAGTTCATAGAGAAACAATGTTTATCTTATCTGCATAAAAATTTCCTTTAAGCCTGACAAAAAGCTATACTTTACCTGAAATAATGGCATCTAGCAGCCAGGATCACCCTGTGTGCTGGAAAACGTTTCTTTTCTACAATAAAGGTAACGTCACTATATTCTTCCCCGTTCATTAGAGCACCAATGTGCTCTGACAGAATGTGAACGTGGTCAATCTCACCCACAGCTGTGTAAGGACGAAGTGGATGGCTGTTACTCATCTTGGAGGGATGGTGATATTGGTAGCCTAAAGGGAAAAAGAAAACAACCAGTATTATACAGAGAAAAAAAAACATTAAAACCGGCAAACATGAAACTGCAATTACAAAAAAAAAGTCTAAGTAACCATAGAAAATGACAAGAAAAAAAACCAAGAAAAAATAACCCAAGAGGTTTTCTATTAAAGTTCATTTACAACAGGATTCAATGCAGCTTGCATCTACAATTCTAGCTGACAAAATATTTCAGAAAATTCCATCACCTTGTTGTTCTGTCAATTCATTTACTTAAAAGAAAAAGCTTCCAACAAAAGGAATTAAGAATTAAAATATTATAAATAATGCTACAATTAGAAAGCAACTTTATCTCAATTAAAATGCACATAAATTATAAACAAGTAATGTGAACAATTAAGCCTAGTCTTAATTCTCAAGTCTGTACCAAAATCAGTGACAAGTGAAAACATTAGCATTTTTGCAGGATTCTAATCAACTTTTCAGAACTGGCAGAAAATAAACAATCAGGATAACTTTTAATAAATAACAAAGTCTGTTCTTTACAATGAACAACTCCATTTTCTTACCCTTCCCACTCAGTTTTCTTGATGCCTCTTTGTTCTCTCACATTTTTAAGAACACAAAGCCCCTAATATCTCTCAGTCATTAAAATTAGGAAACACTCTACTAATGTACAATATAGATTAGTGAATTAGTCATATCTTCTATGGAATTGTTTCTTCTTAATTCACAACAGGTTTGTTGGTTTTGGTTTATTTCAGCAACAGAGGCTTTCAGTTGTTACACTTTGGCTTATTTTTATCTAAAAAGAGGCTGGCTATTTCAGATAATAACCATCCATATTTTCAGAGAAATCCTCTGTTCTCCAGTAACTATCCACTTTTTGAAATGGGCACATACCTAGCGCTGAAGAAAGACAGTGTAGCACAAGAAGCAGGAAAATGATGAGGCCATACCTTGCACACAGCTAACACATTCATCTTTCAAGTGAAATATTCATGACACCACTGCATTTTTATGCTCCATTTAAAAATATTATGAGAAAATATGCATCTATTTTCAGTCATTTCTACCCCAACAAAGAAAACACATGCACACGGGGTTAAGTATGCACTTTAACATGTGGAAATGCTTAACCCAAAATCCAAATACTGTAGAAACAAGGTCTCAAAGAACTTTAAATGAAACTAAAAAAAGTGATAGAAATAAAAATAAAATTTGAGAAAAATAGAGTATATTGAATTAACATGGATCACATCACAAATGGGAAGAAAACTCCAGCTTTCCACAGGCTGTCTCTGCCATTAGAAGCTGTGTGTCCATGTAGCCATTACAGCACAGAACCAGCAACACTGGTCAAGATACTGGAGGTGGCCTAACCCTGGGAACATCCAATACTGCACAGTCATCCTTCCATTCTGACATGGTAGTAAATTAATTTTTATGGGTTTTCATAATAACACATTATTCCTTCCATTTGCATTGTTTAATTTATAATTAGCTAAGACAAATTTATGCAACATACACTTCACTTCCAATAACATTTACTTTGTAACAAGCAAGATTAACTTAACTCACACCAGCCCAGCAGCATCTATTTATCCCAGGAATAATGTTTATCACAACACAATTGTCTGAGAGTTTACAAACAACAGTAAAATTTTAACACCCTCAAACCAGAAAACTTTTTATAACCAGAGGAAGAAACAAGAGGATGTATTTGTTACTCAGCTGCAAATCTTAAGTCTCAGTACTCCTCGAAGACTTCTGGACCATACACGTCCATATTTACTGCTGTTGATCGTCATTTGCTAATAGGCAACCTAACAAATGCAAATTACATGCACATTATCAAGGAACTCTGTACTATCTTCTGTTAGTTTCAACTTTGATTGTGTAGGGAAACTGATTTATGACACTTCATGCATGTACAAGCATTGGCACATTTTGGTTTTAAAATCTACTTTTAATTCCATTTTTTCTACATTCTACTTCTTTGTTTCCTGAATCCACTCGTGTCTCTAAAAAATAAGAACAGGTACTGTCTGAATAAAACTGAGAGACTGTAAAAGTGGTGAAGACAAGGGAATGTCACTTGCTGCACACTAACTATGCTACTGAGTACCTGTGAATGTTTCATGTGCCAATCGGGTGAAAAGTTCAGGGGAAATTGTTTTCTATTTCAAGTTAAATAAACAAATAAAATCAGAAGCACACTTCCCTCTCACAGGCACATAAACTTCTCTCTAAACAAGAATCAGTGTATAGAAGAGGGTAATCTGAAGTGGGGACATTTTCTAGTAAGCCAATGATGCCAGTCCTTATGAACATCAAGACCCTGAAGGACAGCAAGCAATGAAAGTAGAGATTTAGAAATCGCCCTGTGTAAGCAGTAAGACAAATCTGTTCTGATGTTTAATGTTTTCCAAATTGCTGGCACCATGCACTATTCTAAACTGCCTGTTTCAAACAAGAACATACTGATCACTGGGAACAGAGGACTCAAATCATGGCTATAAGCCTCTAGCTGAGGAGCCTTTCAAATGCATGAAGGACCCAAAGTGCTGGAAGCTTATCACCTTTATGAAACTATCTTCATGCCTTAGATGTGTTCCATGGGTAAGATTAATATATTGAAGAAGCATTCAACAAACTCATTTGTTTACTATCACAGATTTCCAATGCAAGTTTTGTCTGTATTGTGGATTTTTCATATAAAGCAGCCCAGTGAGACAGTCCTGCCCTCAAAATACAGAACCAAATAATACATGACTTCAGATCTTCCCAGACTGGATTAATTATTGGTATGAATTTACTCAACCCTTGAGGTGATCTGCACACTTCTTGTTTGAGGAAGTAAAACATAATAACCTCTTTAGTTGTGGCAAGTCACCATGACCTCACAACTTCCCTGTATAGTTAAACATGTGTTTTTCTCATTGTAATTCAAAAGCATTACTTATTATAAAAAAAAATAGACAGATCCTGCTAGAAATTTGCGTAAAACCCTTCCTGAAGATCCCTCTAGCATCTTCTGTCATCAAACATCACCCTTTCAGAGAGAATACAGGTGTTTACTCATCCTGGCAGCCAAAGAACACGTAACCAGCATCAGAATAAAACACCACGCATTTACAAGCCTCTTGCCAGTGCCATAACCTATTTCCAGGAGGTATTCAGAGCTAATTAACTACTTCAGGAGTCACGCAGCCTTGTTCATACCACAGAAATAAACAAGCAAATGTCTTCTCAGTGGATCTGATGCACCTTTAAAACTGCAACATTGGGAAAGGCATTTGTTAAGTCCGAAGGCCTACAAACCAACTCTAAGACCTCACTGAAAGCCCTGCTTGGTGTCCACCTTCAACAGAGAGCATGTGAAAAATGCGGCCTATTATTTATTACATAAGGCACTGTGAGATATCACACAATGTGTCACGGCTAGAAAAACAACAGTCCCCCAGCTTTCAGTTTGCTGTATTTCTGTTACAGTAATCTGTAACATGCTATGGCACAGAGAAACACAATCTAGAAACTGCAGCAACAACAGTAGAACACCAATGACATCCTTACTAAACAACTCTCAAACCAGAGCTGCAACGAAGACTGATACTCCATCACTTCCCTCCCTCATTTAGGCTAACACCAAAGAACCCTCTGAAAAGCAGTGCTGTTTCAGTGAGACATGGAAGTGTTGTTTTTATAGCAGGCATAGAAAAAAAATAGAATAAATTTATCATGGATACTTGTCAAAATAAAAGTTATTTAAAATTAAACTGAGAATGTTTACGTAACGGATAACTCTACCAAAACTTTAGAAATATATGCAAGTAAATACACTATTGCTGGAATAAAAAATTTTATTAAATATATCTGGATTATAACTGAGCAAATAATTTCACACCCTTGAAAGAGTTAATTCCTTCATCATCTAGTTTGTACCTAGCAAGAGAGTATTTTTGTCAGAATCACACAAAGGGAATTTTCTTAAATGTAATTCTCTTACACTACTATTTTATCTAGAAATAGGAATTAGTTCTCAGTTGATCAGAGGTATTTGAGCAGTATTTCAATTTTTTGTAATTCATTACTTCGTAAAATAATTTGCTATACTGTAAATATATTCCAGCAAAATATTGCTTTATTTTTCAATTTCTATTATTGTAGACTCGCAGAATATGATAGATGTGACAGTAAGACTACTGTACAAACATACCACTGTTTTCAAATATGGTTTGTATTTTTAATGAATACACATATGTCTTTTTATAAAAAAAATATACTGTTCTCTTAAATTCAGGTACAGTAAACTCATATCTCAGGAAATACACATTTTTAGTAAATATTTCAACATTCACAGAGTACAACTTGAGTAAACACTGATTCTGTCAGAACCCTTGCTACAGCAGCTCCTTTGCACTTCTAAGTATTAATAACAAAATTGACTATGAGTGAAAATTTTAATAGGGAAAAAAATGAAAGTATGTTCTAATACTTAGTAGCCATTAATAATAGCAACATCATCAACAAATTTGACTTTATAAATATAGAATATGAAAGCTCAAGAAAATGTAATTCGCAGAACTTTCAAGCCTCATCTCCAAACCTTCTGTTGTGAAAGGACTAAAAGAAAAGCAGATGGTAGCATTAATGGTAACGAACCACACCACTCAATGACAGCATTCTAAAGAACAATTTCGTACAAAAAAGTGTTTTGACTTAAAGCATATGGGAAGTTATGCACTGCTTATCGGCAAACATACTCCCATCTCTTAAGTGCTGTAGCGCTAACATCTCACGTTCCGCTCCAAGACATATTCCTGTGATAGAAGAGCAGGAGTAAATTTAGCTAGGTACAAAACCCAATATACTAAGTGCAGATTATATATTAACACACATATAAATTAACCTGGTTGAAATGGCATACAATTAAACCACTAAGTTAAAAAACTCAAGAAAATAAATTGGTCCACTCACCGGTAAAATTCTCTGAGGATCTACAGTGAACGTAGCCTGTAGGCACATTACCAGCTTCCTGAAAATTAGGGTTCTTCGCCATTCTGAACAACAGACAGATTGAACAGCAGGCTCATAGAAACGCTATTCAGCAACATGCAGCTGCACAGCAAGAACTGTACCATTTCCTGAAACAATGCACGAAATACATACCATCAGACTCTGGGAACATTGAGCATTATGACAAAAGCAAGCGAGATGTATACTTCTCAAATCAAATTTTTGTGGAAATAAATTCTTTAAAAACACCTCAATTTTATGGGAAAACTTCTAATAACGGTAGAATATAGCATCAGAATTACTTTTTTGGGTCATCATCACTGAATTTTGACCATTCACATTTTTAATTGTCAAAGAAGATGGTAACATACTGCCATTCATTTGTTCATAATTAGTCACAAAAATTTCATCCTGACTTTCCTGACACAACATCAATGTCCCTGAAAACACCTCTTTAACACATAGGTGTTCTAATTAAACCAGATCTATACAAACTGTATCACACACGCTTTATTCCCTACACAGCCAAATCTCTTCAAGTCTTCTTGCCTCGTTGAGGGTTTTGGGGGTTCTGTTTGGTTTTGGTGGTTGTATTTTTTACAGCACTTAAGGCAGTTGCAGATCTTTCTCTTGCGTAAGCCTTTAATTTTATAAACAGGAAAACAAAACAAAATTGCAGGGTGAGGAAATACAGAAATATAAAGGCTTTATTTGTTTAAATACATAACCAACATAATAAGTCTCTCTCAACAAGTATAAATTATTGTTATCCTTCCCATCATACCTGCCAGCAGGAAAAATAAACTGTATTTAATTTGTTAAACAGATGATACCTTGATCTATGAATTCTCTCATAAGAGCCACTCTAATCTTCTTTAGAGTATACGCTTAAGAGAACAAGGGAGGAGAAGGCAGAAAAAAATATTTTTCGGTTGTCTCATTAACTGGAAAGTAACCACACCTTAATCCTGCAAATCAAAACCAAGCATTTGACAAATAAACTCTCCTGGTTTTGAGGAACAAAACGTAATGTGTAAATATTTGTCCATACCAGTAATGTATGTTATCAATTTGGCCTCTATTATCAAAATATATTCAAAAGCCATTTATGAAAATTATTGGGTGTTTTTGGTTAAATATGAGTAAACATTCAAAAAGAACAGTAAGTTTCAAGTATCCGATTTACAGATTTGTAACATAAGACATGCCAAACACATCTACATGTGTGCTGCACTTTAAAAACTAATAAGTAAAGGATAAGAGCATTGGTAGGCAAGTGAGACTAACAGCAGATTGCTAACAAGTTAGCATCAACTTATTTTTTTTTAAGTCTGATAATACATCTTGTAAATCAAAAGTAATTTCAGTGAATCACAGCAGTGCTTAACTGGTTAACTACTCCGACACCAGAAGGACCCGGGAAACTATGTACCATCAGAGCGTCAAAATACTAAACTAATCGTTAAAGCACAAGAAAATTCAAATAAGGCAGCCACAACAGGGCCTTGGAAAGCCAGCCGGGGGAGTAGGACCAGGGGGCGGCGGGAGAGGCAGGCGCGGAGCAGAGGACGGCCGGAGCCGGCGATGCGCCCAAGGTCGCGCCCGGAGAGCCCGGGCCACCGCCGTCCCCCAGCTCCGGGGGCGCCAGGGAAGGCGACCCCCGCCTGCCCGGCCGCCCCCTCCCTCGCCTCCTCGGGACGGCGCTCCAGCTGAAAACGCTTCGCCGCCAAACGCGCCCCGCGCCTTCCCCGGCCGGCGGCGTTTCCCGGCCCGCTCCCGGGTGGCCCTGTCCGTGCCCGGCTGGAGCCGCCGGCGACGGCAGCAGCAGCACCTCTGCCCGCCGAGGGGCCGGAGCGCACGGCCCTCTCGGCCCCGGACCCCCTCGGCCCGGGGGTGACGCGGCCGCCGCGCCCTCCCGCGCCCCTCCCGCGGGACTCACCGGCCCCGCCGCGCCGAGGCCTCACCCCCGCCCCGCCGCCGTCGCTACGTCACCAGGCGGCGCGCTGACGTCACCGGGCAGCAGCGGGCCGTGCGTGACGCAGCGCCCCGCGCGGGTCCCGCCGGCGCTGAGGCCTCCGCCGGTCCCGTCTGTGGCGGCCGCGCCCGGGCGCTCCTCCGGGCAGCGGGGCTACTTGTGAAGTAGCGACTGGTGCTCAGCCTTCCCTGTCGGCTTCGTCTGCTGTTCCGTGGCTACATTCGAAATACACAGAATCACAGAATACGCCGAGCTGGAAGGGACCTACGAGGATCATCGGGTCGAGCTCCTGGCCCTGCGCAGGACACCCCAGGAATGACACCATGTGCCTGAGAGCGTTCTCTAAGCGCTTCTTGAACTCTTGTCAGGCTTGGTGCTGTGACCACTTCCCTGGGGAGCCTGTTCTGGTGCCCAACCACCTTCTGGGAGAAAAACCTTTTCTTAATGTGCAGTCTAAACCTTCCCTGGCGCAGCTTCACGTCAGTCATTCCCTTTGGTCTCCAGAGGGATGGTGAGCCATCTATCTGAGGAGCGGTCCTTGGAGCAAACCAAGAGGTCCATAGGTCAGTCCCCCACTCAAAGCTAAGACTAGATCAGGGTGACTTATGCCTTATGTGACCAAATCTTGAAAAACCCCCAAGGATGGACATGTTTCTTTTGTAAATGTGTGCTTACCTGCCTCTTTTCATTCAGTAGTTCTGCTTTCCTGAGTCATGAGAACCTCTCCCACAGAATGTGGGCTTGTCTCTATGTAACCACAAGATTCACTTCTACTGTACCTGCACAAAGCTAAATTTAGGCCCTCCAAGAGGCAAAGCATTATATGCTATTTAATTCCATGTTTTATTTAGCAGAAAACAAGTCTTACTTGGAAGAAGTAAAAACAGAGGTCTGTAAACAGTGAGAACATCAAATAATTTCAAAAGTTTTCTATATCTAAAATACTTTAATATTGTTGCAGGTTAAAAGAATCATCAAATGTTTATCTTTAATAGTTTATTCTTGGATTTCATAACTGAGAATACTGGTTTTAATTAGCTTACAGTATAGCAAGCAGCAGTAACTTTCAGAAAAAACCAAACCCGTACCTTGCCCCCTTCAGGATGTCGCTGTAACGAGTTTGTAGATGCCAGTGGTTTTTTATTAGTTTCCTCTTTATTACTGCATCATCTATCACATCTGCACTTTGTCAAGCATATAAAAAACCAAGGCTCATTCCAAGATTAACAAACATGCTTAGAGTAACTTTTGATTACTAAGCAGAGCAGCTTTGGCGTAGCCAGCTCCCACTCATGTAGTTATCCACTGCACTACATCTGCACACCCTTTGACTTACTCATCTGATTTATGAACTATCCTGGTTTTAATTACTGGATTCCATACAATTGGGTCAATAGCTTTTCCAGTCACACCTGTATTTTGAAGTGTAGTGAAACAAGACTGAATGAGGCTCTACATATTGACAAAACATGAACCACCAAGTGACATGTTTGTAAAACTTTGGAGATTTTCTTTACCAATGCCTTGGTCATATCTACCTGCATTGACTGAAATAAAACTCAGTCTAAGTCAAGTCATCAAACTATTACTCTAAAATAGTTTTTCTATTCACACAATCTAATGAGATGCTCTGAATGGTGAGAAACTGCAATTAGCACCTGGGGTTTTTTTAAAATACTTACTTCAGAACACCAGCAGCCGATGTGTATGAAAAACATGGTTTAGCCATCAAAACTTATGTAAACTGCAATGAGCCGACTTCTTTGTCTCATTACTGTAGCTCTGATGCTTCTTGGCACTTTACTCATCCCACTAACTTCAGAAGATACCATACTGCAGCTACACTACAACAGGATTCAGAATAAAGAGCTCTCTGAATTGCTGCTGTGTTTTGCAATATCATGTACCTTTTTTTAAAGTAGGGTGAAGTTTCACGATTCAGCTGAGCTCATCCAACTTTCTGCTAGAACAATCAGCTTTACTCATTTGGGAAACCAAGGAGCCTTGAACTGGTTCCTCATTCCTGCTTAATAAACTTGGCATAAAACTAACGCAGCATTCAAGAAAATCTCTGTCACTTGCTTAGGCTGAATTAGCCTGCTTGGGGCAGGGGGTGCAATGTCAAAAGCCCCATAATTTGTGAGGAAGAAAACTAAGATCATTGGTGCTCCTACAGCTATTACGACACCTCACTTAACTCGGGAGATCTCACTCACTCCAAATATTATCATTCCTATCAAAATGATTTAACTTGCAGGAGAATAATCTATTGTACAAGGAGCAAAAGAGGGAACAGCCTAAGTATTAATTCTGTAACTATAAGAGGGCAGAAATAGAGAATGCAACTATGAACCAACAGTGTTTATTGGCACAGAGAAAGGCAACTTAGCAAATATTCAAAAAGGGAAAGGATCTACTGTATATGAATGGCACTGATAAGGCACCATCTGAAGCACAGTAGCTGTAGATACTGTAGAGACCAGACAAAATATACCATACAAAGGACAACTTAGAATATCAGGTTTAGATCATAAAACAGAAAACTGAAAAAAAAAAAATTTTGAGTTGCTATGTCTACCTTCCAATGAAATTATGATTGCTTGTACATCCATAGGAGGTATAAAGTAGAGCGGTAGTTTTAATGTTCCTTTTTCCAACACCTCAGCTTCAGAAGAAACATATCTATTTTAATCATTTCCAAGGGTAAAAAAATTATCTTGGACTAGGTTTTATGAGTGATTTTTCATCTAGAGTTCTGCAAAAACTCCTGGGTTTATATATGCTACTTAAAATGAGGTCGCTGAAATTAAAGGTATTTCAGAGAAGGAGATAGGACAGCAACACTTAGCATTTAAGTCATTAACATCTACATTAATATAATAGAAATCAAATGCAATTCTTTCTATATTTCTGTTTTAACTTATAAGCCAGGGAATTATTGACAATTATTATGAACTCAGTTCATGAGGTTACTGAAACATCCTGCTAATCAAGTCACACATTTATCTTCTTCGCTGTTACTCCCAGTTCATGTTCTTTTATGACCAGATTTTTTCTCAAAAAAGAATCCATAAACCAAACTGCCTTTCAGTCATCCAGAATTCAACAATCAGCAATGCAATTGGTCACAGTGCTTTAAAATTATTTTGTAGTTTCCCCCAATGCTTTATTGAGAGGTCAATTGCAATGCCATTACACTATCAATAGTCACATAACTGAAGGAGTTAAGTGCCATTAAAACCAAAGTAAGACAAGGCAGAGATGTTTTTGTCCTTGCTGGAAGAACAGGATTTCAAAAACTCTCATTATTTTTTACACTGTTTTTAAGATGTGGAAGAGCATAAAATCAAACAGTTGGTGTAACATGTAAATTTTATGTTTTATCGCTGTTTACATGTAGGTACCATCACTCATTTTGAGAGGGTAGATCACAAAGTCTACTAATAGGAAACTGTTGTTTCAGATACTATTTTTATTAATTTCCCAATGCAGAATGTACAGAGCATTGAAGTTAAATACAGACCCAGCCTTGTATTGAAAGAAAAATTATGACCAAGTTCTTTGTAGTGATGAAAGAGACAAGAAGGGTTACTGTGAGTTAGCAACTATGAGACCTCTTATCTTGGCTGTAAATCAGCAGTCGGGAGCTGAAAGACTGAATTCTTTCTGCTGCACTGATTTATTGCTTCCACAAAGTTTCTTGTTTCAAGACTGTTTAAGGCTGCTCCTTAAAGAGGTTTGCCTGGCATAATATAAATAAGATTAGGACTTTGATAAACATGCCACTACTCATGTCAAAGTTAGTCTGACATTTTATTTTCTAGTATTCAAGATAGGGCATGAAGTCTTCAGGATCTTTTTACTTCAAAAATATTCTTTTTTTCTTCCTTGTTGAAGCTCATGTAGTAACACAGGACTTTTTGTTGTTAGTTTAAATCTAAGCAGCATGGGATGCAGTGAGTTTCTGGTCAGCATATCTTTTGACAGTGTTTAGTGAAATATTAACATAATCAATGTTCAAGAGGAGAATCTGTGTAAGTAATTGCTCTTCCAGAAAATTGTGGTGGCATCACAGGACAAGAAAAAAAAAGAATCCAAGTACAGTCAAGTCCCAGGGGATAGTTTTAGAGGACATTCTGAACATGACTGAATCCTATTAAACAAGAATTTCACCAACACTGTTACAGATTTTTGCCAGGGGACTGCAAGTGGGCATCTCTTATATACTATACTTTATTAGACTTAAGTAAGAGTCACCATGTGGTTAGGATTCAAAATTTCAATCCAGTAGCCATCAGGATCCTGAACAAATGCAAGTCCTTTCATTTTACCTGTTGGAGAAAGAAAAAAAAAAAGAGGATAAAGTTAAGACTACATGACTGGTTCCTAATGTCAAATATCACTACTCTGAAAAACAATTTTTTCTTTTTTCGTTTTGCATGAGAATTAGTCCAAGTTTAGACAGACAATTCTAAAATCATCGATATTATTTTTTAATCACCATTATATCTTTGTATGCTAAACTGTCAATCTTACTCTCAAAGCTGTAGGTTAAAGTCACTTTGGAATTCCATCTTTTGTTGACTGAAGTTTTTTGCATATGCCCCTGTAAGTGTTCATCTGCTTCATAAAACAGAGAAATGAAAGACAGAATAGTACACATTTGATCAATAATGTAGGAAAAAACCCCACATTCGATCTCCCAGCCTGTTCCACAATGTGAAGTACAAAACTTCTTCCTCCTCCTTGGCATTTGCTGCATCAATTTTCCTTCTTTATTTTAAAGAAGAGCTTTAGCTCTCCAGCTGACTGCTTCAAGAATTCTTTCCTGTGATTTATTCCTTTTATAGTCTAAGCTTCCTGTCCTATGTACCTTCATTCCATATCACTTCAGAGCTCTAAGTTAGCAACCCTCACTTCAAGTCTCTCAAGGTCTAACAGGTGCCAAACAAAGCTCAAACTCTAAAATGCTAGAAATACCAAGCTCATTTCTTAAATCAATAAATCTGTGTTCAAGTTAAGTTTTCAGCTATATTTCTTCTATCTGTTTCAGCTGAGAACACAGTGAATAAGATGAAAATCCTTTAAGTCTCTTTTCAATTACTAGTATTAAATGTCTGTTTTGAAATCCATCAGTCCTAAAATTCTCATGAGATTTTCATTAAAGGGAATCCAGTTGAAAAATGCAAGACTTCTCACCGCTCACTTCTGCATTTTAGGCTACTTTGACATTTTACTGAAGGTCAGGCCGCATACAGAAGGCACGTAGCAGACTGATGAACTACTGTTACAGAGATGGATCTATTGCCAGTTTTGCCCACTCTCTTAGGAGGTGCAGGTGTAACTGGTTCTAGAACCTTCTAAGCAGTGGTAGCTACTAGAAACATGTTACCCAGATGTCCAGGAAGATCTGCTGGACAGAATATACTAAAAACAAATTAAAAAACTGACTTGCATTTCTGATAAAGACTTACCATCATCTGGTTTCTTTACAAATTTCACTCCTAGTTCTTCAAACCTCTTACAGGCTTTATAGACATCAGGAACAGCAATTCCAATGTGTCCTGGGCAACAAGGCAAAAAGAGTGAAGTAGACTGTAAATACTGCTGCGTGTTCCAGGAAAAAGTTTGCTCAGTATTTCATCCTCTGCAAAACTTTCACATGCTGTAGTTCACATAAGATATGATTGTGTAGAAGAAAAACATTGCTTCCAAAAAGAAGAGCATTTTGGGTATTAACATTATTCTCCTTCAGAGAATTTTCTTTTGATAATGACTTTTAAAATAAGAACTTTAGACTTGAAATATCTCTAGTTGTTTAGGAATATATCTAGAGTAGGAAAAAATGAGATTTTCAATCAAACTGCTTTATCTGCATTTCCTTTCTCAAAGCACAGCTACATAACAGGATTTTGTTGCATTTGCTCAGTTCAGCAGTACAAGGAGTTTATCATTAATGCTGTATTTGCAGAGACTGACACTAGTGCTATGCAAGGCCTGAGCTTACAAACCAATTCAGAAGCTTTAAATGTCAAGTGGATTGACTGAGTGTGAAACTTATTTTACAAGCAGTGACCTTTCAAGCACTCAAGAGTATCAAATCAAGCCACACAAATAATATCCTCACTGCTACACACAAACAGAATTGTCCTTCTATCTTAAAATGGGTAACCAGTGGATTATAAATTAGAAATCCAAGTGTAAATCAGTTTAAACACCATGATAATCTAATACACAAGAACAACTGCTGTTCTTCATTCAGTAATTACAATTAGCCTGTGTTTGCTTGTCAAATGATTACATTCTTTATAAAGAATGTAACTGTGGCTCATTACTCTGAAATACATTTGTTTACTCATTTTCACCATCTTTCACAGCATTTATGCTGAAAGAAGAGAAATAAAGGATGAGATGCAACTTCCCCTCTTTCCTACAGCTAGTTCGATTTCCTCAAAGTAATCTACTAGACAAGTCTTTTTTATCCAAACAAGTTTAAAATATTTTCTCTACTAATTCACAAATAAAAAACCCCTACAGCATATACTTAATCATCTTTGCACAAAACTGATTCAGATGTTTTCTCAAAAACATCTGAAATTGCATTTTCACCTAACACCCAAGAGAAAAAAAGGCAATCACAATAAACCAAAGGTTAAAAATTATAAACACAAAATTAAAGACCTACCAAATCCTCGGGGATCTGAATTGCCATTGTGATAAGACTGATTTTCATCATTTTCAGTGCCCCAATTGCTGTAAGAAGTAATTATTACATATTGAAGAAAAGCATCAAAATTAACAAATTGTAAACATTCAGTTTCCCCAGGAGGGTAAGTTCTTTCTCCTGAGAAACCAGAGAATTTCATCTGTTGGCTGCATTCATTAATCAAGATTTTTCCCTAGTCATAGGTTCTTGGGATAAGCTTGGGGCTTATCCAGTCATGTTCACAGTCCTTTACTAGCATTCAGGTTCCACATTTGAATGAGTCAGAAATACTCCTCTCTCATTCAGATTACAAAGAAGGTTTTGCTGCACAAGTCAGTTTATCTATTCATCACTGGGGAACAAAAAGTGACAGTAGCAGGTCCTGGAGCTAAGTAAGACAGTGGGAGATTTGGGAGATTTTATCTGCACAGTTACAATGATTAGGAGCATTAACCAAATTGTCCTGTTTACAGGAAGTGTATGTTTTGACTTAATACCTCTTTTGATTAAATTCCAAAAGCAAGTTATCTATTACTAGGATGCTTCAGGGATTCAAAAACAGGTCTAATCACATTGGATTTTCCTAAATTCCCCGCCCAAGTGTCATGCATACTCATATACTCAAAATATAGCAAAGACTGTTTCATATTTATGTACCACTGTTCACCTAGCAGTTTAAAGAGCTCTGAAGTAAGGCAAATTAAGCTTTCCAAATATCCAATCTCAGCCATATTTTAAGGCTATATGACAGTGAAGATGTATTCCATTTTTTATTCCATCCAAGAGGATTTACACTTATCCAATTCTGTTTAATCACAGTTAGCTAAATGTCATCTCTCATTATATAAATACTTACTGTGTCAGTTCAAGTGTAGCTTTTCTAGAAAAGGTCCAAGGTGTTCTCTCCGTTTTATCTTTTGGGATATCATTTTTATCTTCATAGCCCAGGAAATAGAGTGAGAACTTCATAGTAGGAAAGTCAAATTTTTGAAGCAGTCTAAATGGTAACAATTATTTTGAAATAGTAACTTAAAAGGGTAATCAGGTAGCTTGCAAATAATCCAAGATGTTTCTGCTATGGAAGAACTATTTCTGTGAATGTTTGCCTTTCTGTAACCCACACCTTAAAATAGTTGCATTTTAAATTATCAAATAAAACTATCCAAAACCCATTACAAACCTACAAAAATTAGAACAAACAGATGCTTTAAAGCCAGAGTACCAGTAAGTAAATAGCAAAGTCAGTACATGGCTTGGGCCTTGAGGTTGTCACTCTGTTACTTGTCTGTATTTCCACAGGAAGATCTTTAACAATTTATTCTTTGGTGAAATTTTAAACTTATGCATTCTGGAGAGCACACTGGCACCAGACAAACTTTAAGAACACAGCAAACATACCTTTAGATGAAATATCTTTACAATTTCAATAGCTAGCTATAATGGTAAAATCCATTTCCAATGTGACAATTTAATCAACCAGAAAATACTTAAGGCATACATTTTTATGTAGAAGATTTAACTGGAACCAGTAGGTATGCAAAATGAATCTAATTTCTTTTTCATCTTACAAAGTATTGAATTTTTATTTTCACTACAGTGGAAGTAGTTTATTTAACTTTAGTCTGGACTCTTTTCAATATGTTTAAAAACACAGTGGAATTTTGTTTTGAAATAACTCACACCAAATGGCAAGAAAGCACAAAGAGGTTCAGCATAAACCCATGAGACTACTGCAGGGCATCTGCCTCCCAAAAGCCACCTATGATAACTAGTAGAAAACTTAATTTGAAGATTTATAGCAATGACTACTGATTATAAGCACTGTCATAACAGTTACCAGTTAGCTACAGCCTCAGCCAGGAGGAAGTAAGCAAGTTGTACACTGATAATTAATGACCTATTTAAGAAAAAAAGAAACTTCTAGTCAAAGCCCATATTAGTTCATTTGCAGCTCAGGCATTAACTGTGCTGTTGGAGTCTTCAGAGACTCTGCCAGACTGTCTAACTGAGCATTGTCTGATGGGCCAGCATTGTTTATGTAGTTAGACCAATTAGTATAATTGCATCAAAATTTAAAAAAAAAAAACAACCAAACAAAAAAAACCCCACACACAAAAACCAAACCAAACCAAAAAAAGATCAAAAAAACAAACAAACAAAACAAAAACCAAAAACCCAGCATCACCAAAAAACACCATGAGGAAAACCCAGTCTTATCGTGGCATATAATTTCTACTCACGTCATTCCAAGAACCCTTGTATAAAAATCCAATGACTTCTTAGGATCCTTTACTCTTAACATTGTCTGCTGAAACATAAAATCCTGTGGGAAAGAATGGTTTATTATTTATACACCAACCAAAATTGAATTATGGGTATTAACAAACATGATAGTAATGTATCTAAAACCAGCAGGTTCAGAAGCAACAGAGAACTACATTAAGTGCAAATAAAACTTTTTGTCCTAATCCTACACATACAGATTTGTGTTAAACAAATATGCCTTTGTAACACAACATTTATAACTATAAATAAACAAAACCATGACTGATATCACTCAATATATACTACCAGTGGTATCAAAAAAGAGTATCCTTCTTACATTTATTATTCTTTTATGGGGCTGCAGAACACATGAACAACTTCACATGCAAGCAAACCAGACATATGAATATTCAATATTGGACCTCACTGGAGACATAAAATTTAAATAGAGCTTAACTCCTGAACTCATTATTTTTATTATTTCATCACACAGGTGCTGAATTTCTGCCAAGCTTGATGATATCTCGGCAGCAAATCCGCCCTCCAACTCTGTAACGATATTTTCTTGAAGCTAAAGGGCAACTTTAAATACCATGGGCTTATGAACGCCTAAGTGGGTAACAAGTGAACGGTAGGACAGTAGACAGAGGTAATGGGGGGGGGGGGAGGCAGATGTAGAACCACTGAAATGCAGTTACGTTCTCCTATTAAAACATAAAAACGTTTGGGGAGTTTTTGGGTTGTTTTGTTTTTGTTTTTTTGCAACGCAGGCCGAAGCGCCCGCGGAGCGCTCGCTCCAGGCCAGCCCGGAGGGTTCGGGGACTCACAGGGTCTGGCCTGGCCGTCCCCGCCCCCTTCCCCACGACCCCCAAACTGCGCCGCGCCGGTCCCGCCGCTCAAGCCATCACGGCAGCTCCGTGCCCAGCCACCCCCGGCCACCCTCTCGCTCCCCCCGCTGGCCGGCCCCATGCCGCCGCCCTTCCACCGCACGTCCGCCCGGCAAAGAGCGGTGCGGAACCTGGAAAAGGCGAGCGGCGCCGCCGCCGAGCAGCAGCCGGCAGCCCCGGGGCGCCCGCGTCACCCCCATCCAGCCCACCTTCGTGCTGGCATCCGGCTCCGAGCAGGCACCATAGGCTGCCTCGTCCGTGAGCCCGCTGAGCTCCGCGGGAGCCGCCATGCCGGGAGAGGAGGAGAAGGAGGAGGAGGACGCGGCAGGAAGGCGGAGCTGCGCCCTGCCCCGCCTGCAGCCGGGCCGCTACCTCGCAAGGGCGCCGCTGGAGCGCTGCGAGGTTTTGTGGTTGGGTCGGGTCGGGTACTGCCTGTTCGGTCCGTAAGCGATATCAAGCCTTTCAAGATTTGAATAAAACTTTGTATGCTTGGCTAATCTTTTTGTTTTACGAAAAAGAGGAGAGAATCCCAAGATGAATGGGCTATCTGGACGATAGCCATCAGGAGTCAGCAAAACTGAGCAATAACTGGGACAGAGGAAATGAATGCGTTTGTACTTCGTAACCAATGAATGCGGATGCCTGTGTTTGCTGATAGGTATGAATAGTGTAAAGTTTTGATGATCAGGGAGCCAGCCTTTCATGGGTTTCAACCCAGCTCCCTCCTTTGCGCAAACTAGTATAAAAAATAGAAATACCTCGCCTTGATGTGTGAATCGGTGCTGTGCACCGGGTAATAAGCCCGCATTCGGGACAACATAAGGACCAACAGGAAGGAGCCTCCCTGCCTGTGGCGTTACTTAGCTGAAACGTGGAATGAAAGCACGGATCCCTCAGCTTCCACCGGCAAGCACTGTAACCCAGCTCCATTGGAATGGTGATGCTTTTGTAAATCCTGGCGGTATTCAGACTGGTTGGGAATCCTAGCCTTGCTCTGTTCACAAACATACATATGGTGTGCTCAGTTATGTTACCTTATATAACATGTTACCTCATTAATATTAATTAATTAAAATAGCTAGAGGGGAGGTGGCAAGAGGATGGATCCAGGCTCTGCTCGGTGGTACCGAGCACTAGGACAAGAGGCAACGGGCAGAAACTGGTGCACAGAAAGTTCTACCTGAACATCAGGAAGAACTTCTTTACTGGTTGGATGACTGAGCACTGGAACAGATTACCTAGAGGGGTTATGGAGTCTCCCTCACTGGATATATTCAAGAACCACCTGGATGCAATCCTGCGCCATGTGCTCTAGGATGACCCTACTTGAGCAGGGAGGTTGGACCAGATGAGCAACTGTGGTCCCTTCCAACCTTACCAATTCTGATTCTGTAATTTGATATTGACAGAGGTTGGTTTCTGCTTTTGCCTCCAAGCACTGGGAGAAGATTCCAAGTAGCATTTGTCACCCTTCAGAGTTATGCAGTGACCATTAGTATAATCAATCATTTCGGGCCTAAGGAAGATGAACAATATTTTTCTCAAAAACTCAGCATGAAAACCAGGATAGAATACTCTGTGGGGGAGAAAAGAAACTAAAAATTAGCTTTTGATAATCGAGAGGAAAGCACTTGCAGTGCAGCGTTCCGTCTGCCTTAAGTAACTTCCATCGGCGAATTCAAGCACACCAAACCCCCCGGGCAGGGGGAACTCGCGGGACCAAGGTACACGAGGCCTTTACGGTAGAATGACAATTTCTCGGGGGTCGAACTTCGGCCGGTCCTGCGCGGGGCCGCAGGGACGCGCGGGCAGAGCGGGCGGGCGCCGGCAGCGCCTCCGCGGCTCCCGGGCCGGGCGGGCGTTGGAGCCGCTGGCCCGAAGCCCGGCCCGAGCCCACGCAGCTGTTACGGGTCCGCTCCCCCCAGCCCTCCAGGATCACATCTGCCCGGCGAACGCCCGGCCGCGGGAGGAGTCGCTGTCCGGGAGGAGCCGTCCCGCGGCGGGCGCTGGGCGTTGGACCGACCGCTCCGGCCGCTGAGCCCGCTGAGGGGAGCTCGGGCGGGCGCTGCGCTGCCCCGGCGCTGCTCACGGCTCCCCGCCCTGTGAGGAGGCATCGCTCCGGCCAGGTCGGTGAGGCTCTTCGCCTGCATCTCTCTGCCAAAGCCTAAGGCACTTCAACTTTTCAGAGGAGAGCCAAAAGGCTGTATTTCTCCGTGCTCTGTGCTTGGGAACCCTCCACTTCTCCCTTACCTCATCCTTCTTCAGCCCTCCTAAGATGCATATTGGGAGCCAGACTTATTTGTCCTGTAGACAAGGTTTTGGGCATCCTGGAGGGGAGGAAAGGGGGTTTTGGCATAAAAGCACATCTGCTGTTCCAGCCGGGAGAAGTGGGCAGCTGGAGTTCATACAGGTTTTTGAAAAGTGAAAATCTCAGCTGAGACACCAGATATCTTGAGTACAGATTTTGAAGAGCCAAGGGAGGATGCCACTATACAAATGTAGTCTTTGCGGGTTTTTTTAAAGAAAGCTGTGAAAACCCCACCTCTCTCATCTTGGTCTTTAAGGGCTTTAGGGGAAGGCATGAGTTAAAAGAGAACTAGTTAAAAGTCAAGAAAATTAACATCCAACCTATTCTGCCTGAGTGGAATAATCAAGGAAGAAAGTTCCCTGCTAACCTTGTAGATGACCAGTCCAGTCATGGAAAAATGAAGAAAAAAGAAAGGAATATAATTAATTAAGGGTTTTCTGGGTGTTTTTTCTAAAATTTGGTTTTGATGTGTTTTTTGGTAGTATTTTTACTTCAAGAGAGATATGAACATTTTTTCTAGCAGGTGTTTGTATGCCGTAGACCATAGAATAGTGGCCACTTTGTTACCTATTACATGGGCAAAAATAAGGAGCTAGTAGTGTACTACCAAGTGTTAATTTTCAGGTCAACCTCACCTCTGATTGTTAATTTCCTAAGTCAAGCAATAGTGTCTAAGAGAGTATGTAACACTGTTACATCTGTGGTTGGCTGCCCTAAGACCTCACAAGAACTACTACGGAATTCTTGATAGTTATTGTAATTCTTATTGTAATAGTATGCTGAGTAGAATAGCAATTTCTGTGTATGGAAGTCTTTTTGTAAGATCAGTTGCTGAATTTGTGTATATTTTAGAAACTAAAATTTAAACAAATAATTTGTACTATAAACCATTTTTATTTCTCAGATATGCACTTAAAGTATTAATATTTGAAAACATATTTGCTATATAGAAAGATTTTCACTCCACAAAACATAAATATATGATACATTGTTTTTAAAAAATGTTCTCAGTCTTCAGCCTGACATTTGCAAGCTATCATAAAATGTATATAAATGTCTGGTAAGAACTGGAAGAACATTTGATGAGGCTATTGAATTTATATCCTTGGGAATTCAGTTTTGAGATGCTCCTGTCTTCTTGAAAAGGTAGACTTTAAATGTCTGGCTTGTTATAAACAATTTTGGTTTTTTTTTCAAATTTCAGATTTCAGAATGGAGGGGGTACAAAAAAGTAATAAAGGAAGTTCAAACACTCGAGAAACTACTGGGCGTAATCGCACTGGTTCTGTCATTACTCCTGGTAAATCAGAAGATGCTTTTACCAGATCTACTCACCCTGGTCAACGAACAGGAAGCGTTTCCTCTTCTCGAGCGTCTTTTTCTTTTGGAAGTCAAAGTTTGTCTAAGTTTTACCGCCCTAGTGGAGCTCCAAACTTGCAAAATATCAAAGCAAAACAGGTTATAAATTTCTGGTTATTTTCTCAGATCATTAAACACAGTTTATATTAACAGTTAGTTTTTGGGGGTTTTGTTGTTTTGGTTTTTTAAAAAATTTCCTTATACTTGGTTCTGTTACTAAATTACTTCTGGTAGACAGTGAGTGTTTTCAATGTTTGTAATATTCTAAGATTTTATTTTAAAGTAATAGAGGAAGGAAGGAGATATTAACTGAATAATTTACACTGAAACAAAGCTCTACTCTGTTCCTGCAAATATTTACCCATGTTTGACCTTTCTGTATTAATATAATAAATTGAAATTTTGATAGTGAAAAATAAAACCAGTTAATGTGTCACAGAAATATCTTAAAATATAGCTAGTATTTTTTTAATGTTAGTTTTTCCTTGACATATCCTCAGAGTCAACTTTACCTCTTATACTAATTCTTAATTATTTGTTCTTCTGTTAGCCTCTGAAAGTTTAGATATTTTTAAAGAGTAGGACATTTATGTAGTTGTATAATACAAGACAGTAGATTTCAGCATGAATTTCAAGTTAAATAGGTCATTGTTGTGATCACTTTGTGTATTTTTAGTTTGAAAGATATGTTTTCTGTTTTAGGCTCAATATGTAAAAGCAAGAGAAGATCGAAAAGCACAAATTAATGCTTCATATAAATACATATTTGAAGTTCTCGGTGCCAGGATAGGTTTAGACTCAGCAACTGTAGAAGAAATGATTTTGGATGCCCCTTCGGTGAGTCTGTTCTGTATATTTATTGATTTAAATTATTAGTTAAAATATGTAGCAGATTACCCATTTGATTTGAATTGTTATCGATCACTTTGATTGTTTCTATCAGAAAATGTAATTATTAAAGCATACAACTCATCTAAAGGATATCTGACTAAATCTTTCAGCCTAGTTTCTTGGCAGATGTGCAAATATTCCCAAGGTTTTTGATTGTAGCTTTTTCATCTTTCTTTTCTAAAGGAAAATATAAATACTGCTGTTGTTTTGACCGAAGAGTTTCTTGACACATCTACCAGTTCCAACAAGTTTTATTCATCTCAGCCTGACATTATTATGTTCTAATGATGATCGTTTTATTTGTTAAGCAAGTTGTCACTGAAATTACAAAGCTTCTGCAAAAATGTGTAACTTTATGGAGATATTTTGAAAATTAAGAGTATTGTTAGTAATAAGAAGAACAATTAACCCTGCACCATTTAAATACTATAATGACATTGGGAAAGACTCACTAAATAATTTCAGTTTTGAGTGCTTTGTTTATTTTTAAATGTTTAAAAGAGGGGATTAAGTGGGTTTGTAGAGTGATAGATCCCAAACCTGTCATTCTTGGTGTGTCTTTAGTGTTGTCTTTCATAATGTTTCAAAGTGATTGAGTAAACAGGAGCAATCAGTTAAACTGTAGTTTTAGTAGATGATTAAAACTCAGCATGACTGTTGTGAGAAGATAAACAGTCCTGTGGGGTTTTTTTGTGATGCACAGCATAGAAGTACTTCAAGTATTGTCCTTTTTTTACAGGTGCTAAATGGTATATGGTTTC